CTGTGCTGCCTTTTATTGGCTCACATGATCTTTACACTCACTGTGTCCTTCGATGTTTGCCTGTTTCTTTTGATAACATTCTAGCGTGTGGCTGCTTTGTACCGTTTCTTATCATCAGGCTAAGAAATGCCATTCCTTTTCTTTGATCTGGCATTACACTTGCTGAATAGGTCCACCTTCTTAGCTTCACTTTGTGTTGATTACAGTATTGCTCTTCCTCTTTTTGGGTGTACTCTGGGGATCCATAGGCCTCTGTTTTCCCCCTATGCTATATGGCATGCATCAGAGATAAGAGACCTGTATAGGTCCCATCATGCCTAATGAATGACTGTGTGGGGTTGCAGACTGCCAGAAATAGTGCAAATTGAGTCCACTTTTAGGGTTAGGGTTAGGGTTAGGGAATCATGGGGACTGTAGTTTATTGTGGCACCAGAGCTCTCTGACAGAGAAGGATCAATGTTCCAGAAAAAAAAACAATTCCCATGATTTCCTAGCACTAACACTAACCCTAAAAGTGGACTCAATTTGCACTATTTCGGGCAGTCTACAACCCCCCAATGTTTCTGAGCAGTGATTTGAATTTAAGTCCAACAATATGTGGAGGGCTACATTATGGTTTATGTGAAACTCCAGAGTTGTATATCACAGTGTCACTCATATGTGGGATAACACTTTGTTCTTGTTTCTTCTGTTCTTTAAATCCCAGCGAGGCTATAGATATTATATACCACTGTTTGGTCACAGTAATGAGTTGGATGAGGTCCAGTGAACCAGCACAAGCTGATGGGATCATTTTGCACCAGTATCATCTTTACTGATCCTCTGTCTGCTTCTGAGTCCAAGAGCTAGTACTATATTCAGATTTAAAATCCTAAATCAGTGGTTTCCAAACTTTGCTCCTCCAGATGTTTTGGATTTGAACTCCCAAAATTCCTGATTGCTGGCCAAGCTGGTTAGGGCTTCTGTGAGTTGAAGTCCTCAAACACCTGGAGGACCAAAGTTTGGGCATCGCTGTCTTAAACCAATTGTTTTTAGCTTTTGGTCTTCCAGGTGGTTTGAACCTCTTCTCCAGAATTCCTGTTAGGCATGCTGACCAGCACTTCTGGGAGTTGCAATCCAAAACATCTGGAGGGCTAAACGTTCAGAAACTCCTTGCCCTAAATGACATGGGACCAGATTTCCCCAGGTTTTTTCCCCTTCTTCCCTGTATTTTATTTGTGCCTCTTAGGTTATTTGCATGATTTTTCCCATTGCTGGCATTATTCTGATTCTGCTTTAAATGTTTTAGATGTGATGTCTGTTTATCTTACAATATATTTTTGAACTGTCTAGAGAATTTTCTGTTCATGATTGGTATAGAAATACTGTAAAGAACATAGATTAGAGAGGCATGGCTGCTAGGGCATTGCAATTCTCTACTGTAGGTTGGTCTCAGATTTACTTGTAATAGTTTAAGCAGTGTGGTAAAATGCTTAGCATGATGTCATTACGATGACACATTGAAAAAGAAAGGGGAATTTGATGCAGGATAACATTTTCACTGGCAACCAGTTCAAATATTATATTTTTATTCCATCCTTATTTTTCACGACTTCTATTTGCAGATCTCCGGATTCTCCTTTTCACTTACCTTAACTATACTCCCTGCAGACTGCTACTTGCATCCAGTTTTAGTTTTCAGTATTGAAAATATTGTTGTTAGTATATTGCTTTCTTGTTATCAAGGACATGCCACTGAATTAGAAAGCTTACCTGAGCAATCAGGCTTGGCCTCTGGAAAACAAATGACAGCCGTCAGCTTTCTCCCAACTCTCTTGCATCTTCACCTGGAATGACTTGTCATTATGTAGACAGTTACTTACTCAGACAGCTTTATAGGAAGGGCGTAAGCTTACCTATTAAAATCATAATGAGTATCGCTTCAGGCTTGTATAGCCATACAAGTGAGGGCGTAATTTGGAATCATAGGAGGAACTTTTTGCTATCATTGTGGGTACCATTTTTATCAGTCAGGTGGGCTGATGAATTGCCCAAATGAAAAGGGAGAGACTAACAAGGTATCCAGGTACAATGTATCCCTAAGTATTTTATATTACAAACAATGAAACTTAGTGCTTGAGTTTGTGGAGTATTTATATCACTTTGTTGTATAAGGAATTACTTGATTGCACGTTAATGATATTGAGATTCAGCCGGATTCCAGGGTTTCAGTATTTGGGAGTTGTAGTACAAATGTGAAGTGTGTATCTTTAAGAGAAGTTGGTACATGAAAGTGTCACCTGAACACCATTAGTAAGAGATTGTATAATATCACCTACAGAAACAGTATACAGCACAAAGTGATTTTGCTAGATGCGAAAGGGCTTGTTCCAGGAGAGAGCTAAGCTTGTTATATCAGAAATGGTAAAAATGATTGTTTCCTTTATATAAAGATAAGTTGGATCTCATATTGTTAATTTAATGTATTTAGAAAAATTGAAAGAGAAGTTAGAAACTGCATCTTAAAATTTTGAATTCCAGAACTGAGATGTTGGTTTATATCAACTGAGAGAGACCCAGATGTCAAAATGGCTAAAAATCTCCAGAGTTAGTCATCTTGCTACCTGTTGTTACCTGAAATATTGTCTCTTACTGACTGCCACTGACTAGCAATTCATTATTGAAATAACAACTTCAAGATGAAGATTCAACAGAACTCTATTTATTAGTTGTGAGAATTATTCCACCAGCCTCTAGTTGCAGTTGCATGTTTTCTACAGCAGAGGCGTGAAGAACTTGGAATATCACTGGAGTTTGAATGAGTAATTTTGTTGTCTATATTGGAATGGTCAATAAATAACTTTCACTGTATATCACATGTTGTTGTTGTACATATAATTTGGAATGTAAAGTTCAAATATTGGTTTCATTGCTTGTAATATACAGTACTTAGGGATACATTGTACCTGAATACCTTGTTATTCTCTCTCTTTTCATTTTGGCAATGGTTTATGAAACCGTCCTGATGTAGGGCTGATGAATTGGCCAGGCTGTCTCCCTAATAGTTCTGGAATCACAACTAGAATCTTTTCAGAGAACCCAGGAAAGAGGTGAGACGGGACTGTGTAATGTGGTGGTGATCATGATGATGATATAGATGGTGATGATGCAAATTGTGGATGGCTTTGGCCATTGGTCCTATAATACACTTTACAGCCAGAGTCATTGAACACAAATGGAATGAGATAATCTTACCTGCACCAGTTGTAGAGAAAGGGGCAGCATTTCAGTGTTAGAAGAAGAAAAATAACAAATATGTAGGACATAGAGGGCAATGGTGGAAGCCTGGAGGCCAATTTTCAGTCCTTGGTATACTTTGGGTGGCTACACTGACCACTAAAAATGGAAGGAAAATTGGAAGTGTTTAGAAGTCCCCTTCTGAAAAATGTATACAGCTTGAGCCTCCCTTATCCAGAATTCTGAAATATTCCAAAATATTCCAAAAATATTTCATGGGTTGCTGAAACAGTGACACCTTTGCTTTTGGTTGGTTCGGTGTACATAAACTTTGTTCTATTCACAAAATTATTAAAATATTAATGTTAGTAAAATTATCTTCATAGGCTATGGGGATATAAAACATAAATGAATGTTATGTTTAGACTTGTGTCTAGACTTAGTACCACCTCCAACATATCTCATTATGTACGCATATATGTATTTCTAATAAAAACAAAATCCAAAACAATTCTGGTCCCAAGCATTTTGGATAAGAGAGACTTGACATTG